GTTCAAGTGATTCTCCTGCCTCAGCCTCCCGAGTAGCTGGGATTACAGGTGCCTGCCACCACGTCTGGCTAATTTTTATATTTTTAGTAGAGATGGGGTTTCACCATGTTGGCCAAGCTGGCCTCAAACTCCCGACCTCAAGTGATCTGCCACTAAAGAACTTATCCATATAACCAAATACCACCTGTTCCCCAAAAAACTATTGAAATAATAATAAAATGTTTTAAAAATAAAGAAAAAGGTGACATTGCTGGTGTGAATGTAAACTGGTGGAGTCACTCTGGAAAATAGTTTGGCCATTAATTCTTTTAAATGTTAAATATAAATTTACCATGTGAACCAGCAATTCAACACCTAACCAAGAAATAAAACGAAAACATGTCAACACAAAGACTTGTAAGTATGTTCATGACTGCATTATTCACAATAGCCAAAAAGTGAAAAAAATCCAAATGTTCATTAACTATTAAACAGATGAACAAAATATGATGCATCCATATAATGGAATACTAGTCTGCAAAACAAAAGAACAAAATACTGATATATGCTACAACATTGATGAGCCTCAAAAACATTATGTTAAGTGAAAGAAGCCAGATACAAAAGACTAGATATTGTATGATTCTATTTATAGGAAATTCCAAAGACAGGAAATCTACAATAAAAAAAAAGTAAATTAGTGGTTGCCAGTGTTGGGGATAGGAAGGTGACTGACTACAAGTAGGCATGAAGGATCTTTAGAGGCGATGGCAATGCTTTAAGAGTGGATTATGTTAGTGGTTACATGACTGTAAATTCACAAAAAATTACTGAATTGTAAATTGTATACTTAAAAGGGTAAATTTATGATACGTAAATTTTATCAGCATCAGGCTGATTTTTAAAATGGGGGAGAAAAATAAGGACTTTCTCAAGAAAACAAAAGTAATGATGGAAATCCTAGTTAGTATTCCTATACTACAAGATACCGTGAAGAGGTATTTTTATGCCAAAGGAATATATTAGATGGAAACATAAATCTTCACAAACAAATCAAGGGTGCTAAAATGAAATAAATGAACTTATCTAAAATATTACTAGGAGTAAAATATTATACAGAAGTAGCTATAGTAGTATCAGACAAAGTAAACTTCAGAACAAAGAATATTGTCAGAAACTGAGATATTACACAACAACAAAGAGGTCAATTCTCCAATAAGATATAAAAATTGTAAATGTGTGTGCATAAAACAGAGCTTAAAAATATATTAGACAAACTGTGACACTACTGAAAAGATAAAATGACAAATACACAATCACAATGGGAAACTTTTAACACTTCTCTCTTAGTAATTGAAAGAAAATGTAGGCAGAAAATTGGTAATGATATAAATTACTTAAATAGCACTATTACTCACCTTGACTTAACTGATATGTATTTTTAAAACTATATCCAACGCATGTTTTTCAGCAGCACATGGAATATTCATAAAGATCAACCATACAGCGGGCCATAAAAAAGCTCAACAAATTTAAAAGAATTGAAATCATTAAAAGTATATTCTCAGGAACCAGGCATGGTGTCTCACGTCTGTAATCTCAGCACTTTGGGAGGCCGAGCCAGGCAGATTGCTTGAGGCCAGGAGTTCCAGAGCAGCCTGGCCAACATGGAGAAACTCTGTCTCCATTAAAAATACAAAAATTAG